ATTATTTCTGCAGTGCGGATACAGACAAGTAGGTCCTTATCTCAAGAAATGGGGGAAAATGTCTCTTCAAAGCCAAGATTGGCTGAGAAAGTCTAATTTTCCTCTAGAAATCCAGCTTTCTTGTATGTCAATTTATGTGGATTTAATAGATTACTAGGTCTACAATTTATTTAAGGTTTCTCAATCCCTGTTTATATTTTCCTAGAATAGGGCAACTCTGCTTCGCTTCCAAGATCAGAATGAATCTGTTGACTTTAGTGCATTAAGCAATAAAAGTACCTAATTATATTTTGATATATTTAAGTGACAACAATTTACATAATGTAACTGATTGTTACATGTTAACATTCACATAATAAGTAACTTAACAAAAAAATTGGAAGTTTGGGAAATCTTGCATTGAAAAATAAGTTATTGAATGACCTTTTTCAATGCAAGAATGCGTCCTCTTGCATTGAAAAATAAGTTACTTTATGACTTGTTCAATGCAAGATTGCAAACTCTTGCATTGAAAATGGTCCTTCAGTAACTTATTTTTCAATGCAAGATTGCAAACTCTTGCAAGAGTTTGCAATCTTGCATTGAAAAATAAGTTACTGAATTACCTTTTTCAATGCAAGATTTCAAACTTTTGTAAGTGTTTGCAATCTTGCATTGAAAAATAAGCAACTTAGTGAAATAAATAAATAAATAAAAATAAACAAACGTTTGCAAATTTATCCTTGCATGGGTTGCCTCCGGGACCCAGTATTTCCTTTCAGGCTCTCCTGGAATCTCTTCCAACTTGTCCACATTCTTTCCCAGTTATCCGCTCGATGGTTAATCCAAACAATATAAAATATTGTTTGATACCATTCATCTGTCTTCTAGAGAACTAGGTTAGAGGCAATTTATCCCTATAAATAAAGAGTCAAGCATAAATAAATCATAACGCTCTCCAGAATGTCTGGGAAGGCAAGGAGCTGCCAGTTGCATGATGTGAGATATGGAACTCCTTGCCACAAGATGCAGCAATGGATACTGGAGTTGGGAATGAGTTTTCCCCCCAGAATTTCTTGTACAGTTGGCCCTCCATATCCACAGATTCCTTATCTATGTATTCAACCATCCACGGCTTGAAAATATAAATATA